TTCTCATCAGCAAGAGAGGAGTATAATAGTGTTCATCTTATAGAATTGATTAAATAAGAGTGCCTTGAAGCAAGTAAACCCTCAGTAAATAGTTATAATAATCGTTGTCAGGCTAGGGATGTGGCTTGCTGATAGAGCACTTTCTGGGCATGTGTGAGGTCCTTAAGTTTGGTCCCTATCACTGCAAAGATGCAGAAAGAAAACTGTTGCTAACAATTCTGTTTGGGGGGTCAGCGCAATAGTATAGCGGGTAGGGAATTTGCCTTGCACGTGTCTGACCCAGGTTCGATCTCTGGCATCCCATATGGTCAGGCCTCCAGGAACTGCCAGGAGTAATTCCTGAGTGCAGAGCCAGGAGTAACCCCTGAGCTTTCCTGGGTGTTACTCCAAAAAGCAAAACAAAACAAAACAAAAAGAGTATTATCTCTTTATCTCTCAGCAATAAAGACATTATAGCCAAAAGAAAACATATATATATATATATATATATATATATATATATATATGGGGCTGGAGTGACAGCACAGCGGGTAGGGCGTTTACCTTGGATGAGGCCAACCCGGGTTCGATTCCCAGCATCCCATATGGTCCCCTGAGCACAGCCAGGAGTAATTCCTGAGTGCATGAGTCAGGAGTAACCTCTGTGCATCGCCTGGTGTGACCCCAAAAGCGAAAACAAAAGAAGAAAAGAGACACCTTTATTTGGGGTGGGGGGGCACTCCTGACAGTGCTCAGGGCCTGCTGCTAGCTCTGTATTTAGGGCTCACTCCTGGCAGGGCTCATGGGATCATATGGAGTGCCAGGATGTGGCAAGCACCTTACTCACTGTACTATTTCTCCAGCCCCAGTTATTGGCTTTTGATAGCAGGCTTGTGGGGGGAGAAAAACACCAGAAAATCTACAATCCTTAGGGAGGTAGGAGACTAATGCTCAGAAGTTTAAGCCCTGCGTTTGCAAGCAGGACTTCCATCCCTGGGGGCTCCTGCATGCACCAAGCACAATCCCAGAGTCTCTGCTCTTTTCTTTATTTGCCCTTTTTTGCCATGACTGACTTAGAGATTATTCTCTGGTGGTGCTGGGTGTGTTTGTGTGGGAGTTCCATGTAGTCAGTGTTGGGGATTGAACCCAGGCCTCCTTTAGCCAACTCTCTGGCTAACATAGCTCCACTATCGAGAATCCCTGGCATCACAAGCAATTTCCCACTGTAATTTCAGTCGAACGTGTGAGATCTGGAACGAAAAAGACTGTGACATCCTAGTGAGCTCAGATTCATCATCTATATACAATATCACTTGGCGGAGAGTGTGACCCTTGGTGAGCTCTCTCAGATTCTCCATACACTTACTACACGAGAGAATAGCATGACTGAAGGATGCAAGCAAGCCCTAGTATGGCCAAGGATGTCTTGAAACATGAGGAAGCACCCTGACTGACTGTAGGCTCACCACAACCCAGTGTGTGTACCACATGCCCCCTGTCTCCCATCACAGCATCCATGGACACAGAGGGTAAGACGGGGAGCAGCCAAAGATGGGAACTGGGAAGTCAGAGTACAGTGGGTAGGGTGTTTGCCTTGCATGCAGCCAACCTGGGTTCGATCCCCAGCATCCCATATGGTCCCCCGAGCACCGTCAGGAGTAATTCCTGAGCACAGAGCCAGGACTTAACCCCTTAACATTGCCAGGTGTCACCCAAAAAGAAAGAAAGGGAAAAAAAAAAGATGGGAGCTGGGGGCTGGGGCTCAGTGGTAAAGCACATGTCTCGCATGCATGATATCTGGGCACATCCCTGGAACTGCAAAGATGGGGCTGGGATGTGGTCCAGCTGTCAAGCATGTAAATGAGGTCCGGATTCAAGAAGAAAAAAGAATTAAAAAATGAGTGTCAATTCGTTTTCAGGTAAAAAGCTACTTGGGTTCCCATCTAAGCCCACATGCTGCTTTGATAACGAAAACAGTGAAGCTGGCAGGCCTTTCTGCTACAACCAGGTCCTCCAAGAGGTCTCGGACCTTTGGAGCAAAAGGTGAGAAGTGGGGGCCTGATAAGATAGCTGGCTGGGGGGGGGTTCAGATTTGTCAACTGTTAGCTGTGGGATCTTGTAGTAAGTTCACTCTGACCCTTTGTATCTCGTGAAATGGAGGTGCCACTCTTCTGCCCATTTAACACGAGCGCAAACAAATTATCTCGTTTCATATGTTTCAGTTATCACGTTCAATTTCCCCCAGTTATCTTGCTAATATCTATTATAGGCTTTTTTCCCCAGGCCCAGAGCCAATCAAGGATCACACTTAGCATTTAGCTCTTCTGCCTCTTTATTATCCTTTAATTTGGAACTGTTCCCCCACCTTAGTGTGTAGCTCCATTACATTGATATTTTGAAAGTGTTTGGGTCATTTGTCTTGTTGGGTGTTGTGAGGATGAAATTGGACAATATTTTTAAGAGCTATGCTGTTGAACCAGTGTGACCAAGTAGTTAACTAGGGGAAAAAAATCTTCCTCATTAAAAACAAAAAAATGCAGGAATGGGGCAGGGTAAGGTACAAGGTACAAGGGGTAGTACTTTCACCTTGCACTTGACTGACCCAGGATCAATCGCTGATATCCCATATAGTCCCTGAACCTGCCAGGAGTGATCCCTGAGCACAACCAGGTATGGCCAAAAACAAAAAAAGAAAAAATGGGGATGTGGTGGACACACCAGAGTGTGCTCAGGGCTTACTCCTGGCTCTGTGCTCAGGGGTCACTTTTAGCGGTGCCCAGGGGATCTTTTGTGGTGCTGGGGATTGAACCCTGGGTTGACCACATGTAAAGCAAGTGTCTTACCAGCTATACTATCTCTCCATCCCCAATTTCCCTATTTTAGTTATAAATGAATTTCTTCATTGCTTACTGACACAATTACATCAGCTGCTTGTAAAAGGAGGGAAAAGGCAGAGTAGTTATTTTCTTTCTGTGGGGGCACATCCAGCAGTGCTCAGGGATCATTCCTGAGCATCGATATGGTGCTGGGGATTGAGTCACAGGCCTACTACATGCAAAGCAAGCCTCCAACCCACTGCATTATTGCTCTGGCCCCAGCAGAACAATTCCTGGGTACCACATCTAGGAGTCACTCCCAAGCACTGCAGAAAAAATAGCCTCTGAGCACTGCCTGATGTAGCACCCAAAGTGAAAAAAAAAACAGTAACAGTTCTTTTTTTGCTTCTGGGCCACATCTAGCAGTGCTCAGGACTCACTCCTGGTTGAGCTCAGGGGACCATATGGGGTGCTGGGGATTGGAGTGGTGTTCAAGGCAAATGCCTTCTTGCTGTACTATCACTCTGCACCCTCCTCCACACACACATACAAACACACACACACACACACACACACACACACACACACACACACACACTCCCAGTTCTTTACCAGAGATGTCGCTCAATGGCAAGCACATACCTTGCATGCATAATGAGACCTGGGTTAAATTCCTGCACCACAAAACAAAACAAAAAACAGTTCTTGACCAAAAAAAAAAAAAAGACATGAAATTCTTTGCTGTGATCTAAAATATGGTCAAATTTCAAACCATTTACCAGTGTGGAGTTACTTATATGTGAAACCAAGCACTGCATGCTAGTAGAAGAGGAAAGGAAGTAGGGTTAGGCCTGGCAATGTGAAGCTCTGTGTTCCCGCCCCAGTCCTGGAAGAGCAAGGAAGCGGTCAGACAATGTGGGGCTGAACTAAAGTGGGATCTGAACTGGCTAACCAGAGGAAACAGGCATTATTCCCTGAGGACAAGAACCTTTGACCAAAGAATAATATCTGTGTATGAAGAGAGGATGGAGGGAAAATAGCTGAGGAACTAGGGGTGAGTGGTTTAAAATTTATATATGGGTGGGGCTGGAATGTTAGTACAGTGGGTTGGGTGGTTTGCCTTAAACACAACTGATCCGGATCCTCAGCAACCCATTTGGTCCCCCTGAACACCACCAGGAACAATTCCTGAGTATAGAGCCAGGAGTAACCCTGAGTATCGCCGGGTGTGACCCAAAATACGAAATAAAAAAATAAATAAATAAAATTCACATGTAGGCCCCTGAGCCACAACAGTACAGTGGGTAGGGCATTTGCAGTACCCCAACCCATATTAAATCCCAGGCATCCCATATGGTCCCCTGAGCACTGTGAGGAATAATTCCTGAGTGCAGAGCCAGGAGCAAGCCCTGAGAATCTATGGGTGTGTCACCTCTCCACCCTCCAAAAAATTCATGTGTAACTGGGGCAGAGCGAGATAGTACAGGGGTTAAGGCCTTGCATGTGGCTGACCCTGGAATTCCTTTGTAACACCCCAAGAGTGATCCCTGAGCACAGAGCCAAGAGTAAGTCCTGAGCACTGTCAGTTGTGGCCCCGAAAGTCTGAAACACACCAAAATCCTGTAAAATTCAAGTGTGATCAACTAGGTTTCAAATGGGAAGCGGGAACCCTTTTAGAGCCCTTGAGAATGTATTCTTAGTCCAAAGAGCAAAATTGTGACTCATGCTCAGCAAACAAGCCCCAAAGTGTAAAACTACTTTCACCTGGAACATATCCCACAGTGTCCCCCTCCGTGCGTGTTTATTTAAAAGGAGGGCGTGTTCGGCAGCAGACGTGACCCAGAGGCCCTCCACCTGGAAAATCACGAGTTGGGCTCACGCACTTAATCCTCAATGCTTAACCCGGGTTCAGAATTTTACTAATTAACCAAGTCGAGCAAATTGTCGGACGGAACTCGCTCACTGCGTCATTCATATACTGGGGTGGTGTCTGGGGCCTCCTCGTTTCGCCGAGGGAAAACACCTAGGGACCGGGAGAAGAGCGGGCGGGGGCGAGCGAGCACGCGGGGCCGAGTCCGGTCGGGCGTCGGGCGGCCCCCAGGGGCCCCCCGGGGCCCGCGCCTCGGGCGCGGCGCGTGTGCTCGCGGGCGGGGCGGCCCGCGGCCGGCGGCGGCCAATCGGGGCGGGCGTCCGGGCCGGGGCGGGGTTTGCCGGCTGCGGCGCCGCGCGTCCTCCTTTTTGCACACACACGAATACAAAGAGCCATACGACCTTCGGGTATCCTTTTTCCATTTTTTTCCTCCTTAATCTTGTGTGTGTCTTCCAAAAAATTTTTTAAAAATTGAGATCTGTAGCCGTGCTGGGGTGAGGAAACTGTGGCTAAGGGGAATGTGCGCTTTTTCCCTCCCCTCCCCGTTTCTTTTTCTGTCTTCTCCTTCCTCTTTCTTTTTTTTTTTTTTCCTGGTCCAGGTTTTAAACGTACCAAGAAATCGAGCGGCCCGGATGGCCGTGTACAACAGTTTCCTGCTAGATGTATAGAGTTTTTTTTTTCTTTTTTCTTTTTTTTTTACGATCCCATTTTAAGAACTGGTGAATTTTTGTGGTCGAGGGCTATTTAAAAAGGTAGCTGCTTGGGAAGTTTCTATCTCTCCTGAGTGAATATCCGCCACGGGCACCGTGGAAGGAAGCGATCTTTGAGACTCCCTCGCAAAGCTGTTTGCGTGCGTTTTACACACCCTTCCCTCCCGAAATCCAACCAAGTGGCTTGGAGGTGGCAGTTGTCCCAGGCCAGAAGGTTAAAAATGTCTGGAGGTTCTAACGGAGACACTCATTTTCCCTGGGGAGGGAGGCGGGTAAAAGCCCTTGCAGTGTGTCGTAGATAGTTTCCTGTGTGTTTCTGGAAGCAAAGGTTTTCGTCAAGATTTCTCTGGAGGTTCTGGTCTTTGTGTATGTGTGTGTGTACAGTGTTGTGTATATGTACCGTATCAGGTTTTGTTTTCAAAAGCAATTAACCGTCGGTTTGATGTGGACCAAGTAGCTACAGGATGTGAATTTGTTTTCCCCTTGTTGATCCCAAACGTGTTCCAAACAATTTCATGTGCAAATGAGAGTTTAGAAGAAATCCGGCGCCTCGCCTCGCGTACTTTGGCTCTTTTGTTCTGTGTGCTTGTGCTGTACTTTTCTTCACTTCTGAAGGATCCTGTGTGTGAATAATTCATTGCCAGGGGACTATACGGTCCATGTGGCAACTGAGAGTAGACAATTTTTAAAATCTGTGGTTCAAAGCCTTCTTTCCTGTTTTGCCTAAGTGGTTTTTATTTATTTATTTTTAAAATCGTCTCATGTTTCTATGTACAGCTGTGTATATTTGGGCCTTTATGTCTGGTTTGGTTGGGGTGTAATATAGAGGGGAAGTTCTGCCTTGGCATTTTTATGAGAAAATGGTCGTTTGTACTAGGTTGGGATTTGTTTGAAAAGTTCTGCAACTGGCAAAGAGGACAATAATCTAGTTAAATCCAATTCTCAAAAACTGTTCTTCGTGGTGGTAATGGGGGAGGAACCAAGGGGTGCAAAAAGCAAGTAATAAACTGGAAGGGGAAGAATTGCATTTCAGTTGTCATGTTGCAGTTTTGGAGCGTCCTAGAGGACCCCAGGCTCAAAGCTCAACGACGCCCCCGTTTGAGTAGTAGTCGCCTTTCAGCATTGTACTACTCTTACTAAGAACCACTGGGAAATAGATTGAAATGTTTGCTGGACTGAAAGCGCAGGAAGTAGATGGGGTGATGAGGGAGAAACTGGAATGTCGTTAAGAAAAGTAGCAAGCAGGAGATTTAAAAAAAAAAAAAGGATTTACTGCAGAGTTCAAATTTCATTACAACAGAACCTCTGCATGAGGATGAGAATTCATTTCTATTCCTCAGCTAGCGTCCTGCCACAGCCGCAGTTAGACGCCCAAACAAGGGGGGGTTAAAATTATTTGTAAAGGTCCCAAAATTAATCATCAAGTGGGCTGCTGGGTTTCCTGCCCCGAGCGAGTGTATCTTTATTCCCCTACAATGCAGGTAGAGCGGTGCCTAACCAGGGCTGTCTTAAGGGTGGATCACTCCCTCCCTCCACAAGTTGGAACCTGCGTGGCCCCGTGGTGGTCGGATGCCAGCGAGCGCCGTGATGGCGCAGAGCGGGGCACCTGGGACGGGCGTTTTACCCCAATACCTTTCCGCCTCGCTGCAGATCAGCACCTGCACGGAAGGCGCCTTCTCCCAGCGTCATCTTTGTCAGCTCTTTGTTTCAGAAAAGGGAGAGCCCTTCCCAGAGCGGTGCCATCCCTGCGCCTGACTTAGCCATTTTCATCTGGGTGCATGTGCCCAAGATCCTTGCACTCATTTTTTTTTAAATTATTAGATAAGCCAGAGAAACCCTCCCACGAGTAGGTCGCTGGCGTGGCCGTCCTGCCAAAGCAAAATTCAAGCCTAAATTCAGTTGGCTTTTCCTGGGAATCTGAGTGGACCCCAGAAGTGCCATTTCTCTGAAGAGGGGGAACTGCCAATTGTGCTAGTGACAGCTGAAAGGTTATGGAATCAGGGCTTGCGGGAACTAAAAGCCGCCCGCCACGAAACGTACGAAACCTCCTTGTGGCCACTTGTACTTATAATCGTGTACACGCAGCTCTGTCAACAGCCGGGAACAAAAACCGAGTAAACTGCAACAACAACAAAAAAAGCAAGCTAAAGATGGCGCCGGGCGGCCTTGAAAAGGCCTCGCGGTCGTGTTCCTCCCTGAAGAGGCCCCTCCCCTCGCTGCTAATTGAGTGACTGTGGGTTTCAGCCAATAGCGTTCCGAGCCCTACTCCCTCCCCGTCGTCCGGCCGCCAATCCCCGGAGCTAGGACGCGCGGGGGGCGGTGCCTGCCCGCGTGCGCGCGCCGCCGGGGTACACGGGCCGGTGCCGCTCGTCTCAGGCCTCCCGCGCGCCCTCCCTGCCGCTGAGTCAGCCGGCGCGGCGGCGCGGGGCACACGCGGTGGAACACCCCGCGGCTGCAGTGCGGCGGGAGCTCCCGCGCCGCCCTCGGCCCGGCCCGCAGGAGTGTGTCTGTGTGGCACGTAGCGGACGCCGCGGCGGGCCTTCTCGATCCTTTTGGGATCTCCCTTACCCACCCCGGAACCTCCAGGGCACACCCTTGAAGGATGCTCCCGGGCCGGTGTGCCCCGGCGGTTTCCAGGGTCTTGCGGAGCCCTGTGACCCCTGCGCCTCCGAGGGGGTCCTGCCGGTGCTGAGTCCCGGTGCCCAGCTTGCTGGCTTTGGCTGACGTTTGAGCAGCTAAGCTCTGTGGAGGGGCTCGTGGAGTTTTCCACTTTAGTTTCTCCAACAATACAGGAAAAGTTCTTTGCGAGCGAGGCAGGCCTAGATTTAAACCTTCACCTGCAACGTTTCGTCCTAGCAAGTCGCATTTTTAGCAAGTGTGTCGCATTTAGAAGGCTGTGCCGCTTTTAAACCGCTTGCTCTGTAGACAATGCAGTTTACGACCTCTTTGGCCCTTTGGGGGTCTGCCTACCCACCCCCCCCCCACACACACACCTTTTTTTCTCTAAAAACAAGGTGTTTGATTGCAGGTCATGAGTTGGGTCAGTCTTAAAAAGGAGGAAAACGTGAAAAAAAATTTAAAAAGTAAAGTAGGTAGGAAAAGTAGTTGAAGAGACTGTGTCGCGATAGGCGCTTGCCTTGCATATGGCTGACCTGGCTTCGGTCCCCTGAGCCTGAGAAGCAAGGAGTACGCCCTGAGCTCCGCTGGGTGTAGCCTCAAACCAAAACAATATAAAAATAGTAAAGCGGCCCGGGAGATGGCATAAAAGGCTGAAGTGGGCGCGTTTTGTGTGTGGGAATCCCTGATAGTTGCTGTCACTATTTGATCCACGGAGCACTGAGTGGAGAGTAACCCCAGCAAGGCCTATATGCCCCCCAAATCGAAAAGAAGATAGTGATCTGTGGTGTGTTTACCTGGTCTGTGTGATACTGCGCTTGCTTCTGATGGAGGATGAGAGGTCCTCCTGACAGGAAGTCCTGCACTGGCTCCTGGATATTCAGGGCTGACCAGGGGCTTCCAGCAGCCACTTTCTTTTTCTCTTTTTGTGAAAGTGAAGATTATGGTATGAAATGCTGTGCTTTCAGCAGTCACATTTCAGGAAGTCCATTGCTAGCGTGACCCCGCATGAATTATAGGTCTCTTACAAAAACATATATCATCCCAGTGATACTATATCATACACATCTATTAAATAGTGAGAAAACTTTTTATTTTTCATATTTTGGAGGTGAACTCAGTCATGCAGAAAATTCAAACTCAGAAAAGGTAGAAAGCTAGCAAGGGAGCTGCCAAGAGTATGATATATTTAGTTCTTAAAAAATCATATGACTTGGGAGGAAAGGGATAGTTAAGATTATGGACAGTCTCACCCTGAACTGTCTGTCTAAAAAAGATGCGTTTCTTTCTCTCATTCTTTTCTTTCTCCCTTTTTGTCTCTTTCATTCTTGTTCTTTCTTTCCATGTTTGACTTCATTCGCATGTATTAAAATTATACCAATAGGGGCTGGAGAGATAGCACAGCGGGTAGGGCGTTTGCCTTGCACGCGGCCGACCCAGGTTCGATTCCCAGCATCCCATATGGTCCCCTGAGCACTTCCAGGAGTAACTCCTGTGCATCGCCAGGTGTGACCCAAAAAGAAAAAAAAAACAAACAAAACCAAATTGGCAGTCTGAGGCTATTATTCCCATTCCTGGTAGTGCTTGAGTTGGGGTGGGGAGTAAGGTGGTATGTGGTATGGGGGATGGAACTCCCGTCCCAGGACATGCAAAGCCTGGGCTCAAACACTGGAGCCAGAACCCAGTCCCCATACTTAATCCTTGAGGAGCACATTCACTTTTGCGAAACCCGCATTCCAGCTTGACTGTCCTCTTGTTTTTGTTTGTCAGCCCTGGCCAGTCTTTTTCAGGACATTCCGTTTAGAGATGCTGTCATCTGTTGACATGAGAAATAAATGCACATCTTCTTTGACACGCAGCTGCCTCCTCTCAACCTCCTCATTTCTGTCATTCTGTCAGTGGTCCTAGATGACCTCTAAAGTTATAATTTTTTTGTGTGTGCTGGGGATGGAACCCAGGGCCTCATATATGCGAAACACAAAACATGTATTCTGTCTCTCTCTAAACTATAAACCTGGCCCAGTAATCTCAAAATTGTCCCTTTTGTTTCTGGGGGATGGAGGCCACTCCTGTTTATGCTC